CTGTCTGTCTCTTGACTTAAGAGAAAATGCTAGACAGAATGCTTTGGATTAAAGAAGCAAACTTCAATGACACAGAAACAAAATTCAGTGCATAATTATTCTAGAAATTTCTTATTCTTTATCTTTACTTCTTGGCCTATTTCTGACCTGAATTGGTTCACAATAAAAACTAAGAACATCATCTCATTTTTCGGTGTCCTTCTATTATCTTATCCATTTCACAAACATTTCACAGTTTCTGACTTCTTCATACCCTCCGTTTTCACTTGGGTATTTCCAATTTGTTGAATTGTTGGGGAAAAAAAGAGGACAGATTTCTTTTTCCCAAATATCATAGTGAAATACTGTGCTAAATAACGTATGCATCAACTCTTCCTTGAAGGTCTTACTTAACAGACTAACTCTAAGGTTTATAAATAACTCCCTAAAACAGATGCTAGTATGGATGAAAAATGCTAAACCATTTTTCTGAAAAGGACACGTTGCACAAGGCTTTGTTTCATTAGCATGAGTCCAATTATCTGAGATTGCCAAGAGCTGCTTTGGCTGCATTCCCTGACCGCTACAGAGGTAACTCCTTTGTAACGATGCATTATGAAACAGGTGCAAAAGAAAACTTGGAAATTGTATGCGGATATATCACTAGAGAAGCTTAATGGCATGATTCACATTCGTTTCCTGGAGATGTTTAATGACTTCAAAAATATTATGATATAGCAGACAGACGTGTTCTGTGGCTAAACAAGTAATTGGCTCAGAGGAGTCTAGGATCTGTAGCATGTGAAGTGTGAAATAAAGGATTGCTCCACCTTAGCCAAGTTAAATTCATCTGTTTGCCAAGTCTTTGAGGTTCATCTTGAAGGACAGGATGGAAAAGTCATTAAAAATAAAAGCATCTAAAAGCAAGAAAAGAAAACTGAGAACAAATAACCACAAGGATCTCCTGCCTGACCCTAAACACCTGGCAATCTTCCATACCAGCTCAGAGGCTGAGGGCAATATTCAGACCAGAGAGTATAATTTTAAAATGTGAGCAGGAGATGTTGGATTAATAGAGATAACACCCTATAAAATAAATAAACAGAAAGAAAAGCTAAGGTATGGAATGTGTGACAAAACATACATCCTTTTAGAAACAAAAAGATTGCATTTTACCAACTTGCTACCAGGAAACAATGGCATGAAACCGCAAACCTAGAAATCACACATATTTCTGGATCTTGGATCATCAGCGAATTAATTTTAAAGCCACACTTGCCCTTTACACTACAGAAATCCCTACTAGCTAGTATGTACTAGCTGTACACTCTCCCACATAAGTTGCCTTTCTCTATAAAATCACACAAATAATGTGTTTTGTTTTAGTGAGAGAGACTTTATTTGAAATGTATACAGATAACTTTCAGGAGAAAAGGATGCTTTCCCTATTATCTTCTGAATTAATTTGAATTTCAACAAGTAGCCAACAGGCCTTTACTTTGCATTTGAATTACATTAATGTGTAAATCAAGAAGAAAAGTGAATCCATTTAATAGTTTGCTGCTGTGATATATCAGTTAACCTTGCTTGCTACCTAAAACAGTTAATTTTACAGCAAGCCATAAAGATACTCTGCTGCCACTGTGTTTGATGTAGGTTTGAGAGCATTTTAGGAGATTTACTGGATTATTACCTGTTTGTGCTTTTTCGACAACTGTAAGATTAGGGGTTTTAAACTGACAAAATAATTCAGAAAAAGTTATGAGTTTTTTTATGAAGTCTTTAATCAGGACTTTAACATTTCTTTTAAAACAAGAACAGCTTCTTAATTTCTTTTGCCTGGAGGAACTGACTTTGCTGATTGAGCTTGATTTGTTACTGCTTGATTAAAGCTCTAATCCTTCTAACCAATTTTTGCTCAGTTCTGTTCCCTGTTATTCATACAAGTTATAAAATCAGAGAAATTACACTCTTTATGGGTAGATAGAAAGAGAGGGATGGCTTTTCAGATATCTTTATTCTGCCGTCATGAAAAAAAGAAACATCACTATATGCAAATACATCTCAGATCTATTTCATTTACTGGTTATGGTAGTAATGTCATAGGTTTCACTCTAAATCTGCTGCACAGGATCTTTAGACTATTTAGACAGCTCTCCCTGACATGGGTCTCCATGGCTTTACTGTGACTAGTATCTGCACTAGTATGAATAAACTATTTCAGGTATACTTCCAAATGCTTCACTCCATACTTAGCTAGAGCTGGCACTCGACCATGCCCTTTTTAGCTGCCAGCTAAGGTCTTTCAACCTAAAGTATCAACTTGAATTTACAGAAATGACAGAGATTATCCTCTATATCATACTAAAGTATATACACTGAAAAATTAAATACACAGTGAAAGTATAATAAATGGAAACTGAATAGTGAGATAGCAAAGCTGTTCTCTCAACTTCCACTCAACAGAAAATTTAAGCACAGGTGACCCTATTTGAACAAAATACTCCTCAAATTGTTTTTCCTTGGCTCACCTCCAAACACCATCTCAGTCTGAAAACTTCAGAAAAAGTTTTGTGTACTTGCCAACCATGATCAAAAATAACAGCCAGGATGACTTCTGGGCCTCTTTCTGTCTTTTGGAGAAGGGCGTAAATCTTGCAACGGCTTCTGTAACTACCTGCAACGTGGGCTTTGACTTGGCAACTATGAAATACGGGTGCATTTAAGGCAAGTGCTCTTGGGATATCAATTCCTGGCTCATTTTCTTGGATGTTGAAGTTATCAGTCACAGTGACGTTTCTAATGCCTGATTCATGGGTTTCTACGCTCCTGGTTTCCCTGTTACACATCATGCTTTTTTCATGTACCCCATCCTTATACTGTATTGCTTCACTATCCCTCTGGACTGATTCCTTGCTTCCCTCCTCTATCACTTTCATCATCTTGAAAGATCTCTTTCTGAAATCAAATACAGATTTAATACTCCATGAGCAGAGCTTCTGCACAGGCACTGGAGCCAGATGAGAAATGAAGCAACTAGGGAACAAGAAACCTTCAAAAAAGCCCTGAATAATATTTTACTCACCCATAGGAAATGGGGAAAAAAAAAAAAAAAAAAAGCTAGAATAAGGTAATTGGTTCCTCAAATTCTTTAGTGCTAAAAAACTGAATTTGGGGTAGACTTTGAATGAAAAATTGTCCCTGCCTGTGCTTGTAGTGTCTGAGTTTTTCAGAAAAGCCATAAATTAATAAACAAAGATAACCATTATCCCCATATTCTTTTCTAATTCTTAGATAGTATTTCAAATTTTTCTTTCCAGATTTGTAGAAACATTTCTGTGAGTTTTTGGTGGGCTTTCTTTTAACTTGAAAAAGCCATTAAAATTGGTTATTAGCTCTACCAGCACCTTTCTCTTTTCTTGTTCCTTTTTTTTTCTTTATTAAAAAAAAAAAAAAAAAGGTTTTGGTTCTTACTGTGGAAATCATATCTGTTTTCAAAATCAGTATTTCACTAACTAGTAAGAACATCTGTTTAGCCAAAATGTCATTGTTTCCCTCTCCTTTCTTCTATTAATATCTCAGGAGCCTAGATTGCTGACTCCAAGCCAAAGTCTTTTGCCTCTGATGTTTCTAGGTCTGTCTACAGCCAGATTAAAAACATTTGCTGGGTGAGGCACATTTACCCCCAGCTCAGCCAAAGCTTTTAATCAGATTTAATTTCTTCTTCTGCAGGTCCCTACTATTCCCTCCTTATTTTCTGCCTATACCTTAACTCAAAACTTCAATTCATCTCTCAGAAATCTGGAAGTAGCATCTCATTACCTGGTTCAAAATCTTCAGATCCATTTGAGCAGCTAGGATAAAAGCTCTCTGAGCCTTCAAATTTCACAAATTCCTAGAAACATTCTGTATCTATTCTATTTATAGTTCCCACAAATGATTCTTTTATGTCCTCTTTCCTTATTTTATGCCAGTCACAAGACCCTAATTTCCTAGTCTTCTTGTACCTAATGCCTGCTATTTGAACTTTTCACTTTAAATAATTTTCTCTACCCGGCATTCTAAATCCTATCAAAAACCCATTTATTTCTACCATTCTTCCAATTCCATAATTACAAGTGCAGCTTGACCTGCCCAAGTTTATTATTTATTCTTTGAGACCTTTTCACTATATTTGCCTTTTCTACAGATAATATCTAACTTTACTTCCTAGAAACAATTACTAGAAATGAATGTTGACATAATTTCAGTCTTTTAAGAACCAGCAATAAAAAATGAGTACATATTAATGACATATTTTTTTTCAGTGTCCTTACGTGTCAGTAGAAGTTATGCTCATATTCTATTTCACTGGTACTCATGCCACCCTCAGTATTCAGAAAATGAATAACTATAAATGAAGAAAATAGATAGCTATAGCTGTAGAGGTACATAAATCTGTAATAAGGCAAGACATTGCCATTATTCAGCTGTCACAATTTAACTGAAAGTCTTGTGACATTTGGCATTGTTTCTCAAAGTCTTTGGTCTGAGTTTATTATGTAAGACCCTTTATTTCTTCTTTTTAATTTTATTTCAGATGAACTTAAACAGGGAACCCTGACAATTCTTGTTTAGCCAGTGTGAGACTCCCTAGAGCTCAAACTCACCAACATTGAACCTTTATGTTCATTAAAAAAAGCTTGAAAATATGACTGATGTGAAATTTAATAGCTCAGCAAGCAAAAAAAAATCTTAAAAAAAAATCAGATTTATTTAAATATATTTTTAACTAGGCTGATAATTTTCGTTGTGCATCTCATCTACTGGGAAGCATGTGTTCTGGTAATGGTAGATATACCTGCAACCTTCAACAGCAGAATGATTTAAACTACAGATCCTACCGAAAAAAGAAGGTGGGTGTCAATGCCAACATCAAAGTAGGGGCTAATCACCCATTTTCACTTCTTCCCAGATTATCATAGCCTTCCATGGATGCTGCCATTCATGCTCACACAAGGAACATTCTCACATGTACTCACCACTGGCCTGTGGACATCCCAGAAGGCTCGCTCCTGGCTATCAAGAATCTTCCTCTCTATCTTGTCTCTTTTCTTGTCCACTCTGTCAGTGTTGTAATATATTTAAAAGAAACATTGTTAATAACTAATTTTCAACACAGGAGATGACAAGTCCAATCGACCTTCCCTCCTTTTCTCCCTCTGAGATCCAAGCAAAACCAAAATGCGTCATTTGTCATTGCCTTCTCTTCAAGGAACTTACTTGGCTTGTGCTTCGGCTTGCATAAATATAAACTCCCATTTTCGGGCAAATGCTCGCTGTAGCCTGGCCAAACTCTCCTGAAAATACATCACAATTTTAGTTGGTTAGGTTGTAACTTATTCAGGTTTTTTTTGCTTATATTTCTTTTCTCAAAGGAAACAAGAAAAAGAAAGCAGAGCAAGTCATCATACCTATGCTAGTGTAAATGTACCTTTACTTATATAATACGTCTGTGTGACGCCATACAGATTAGAGTTCCGAGTATATCTTTTTCGAATGTCCTGCACATTTTAGTTCTGAAACCAACATATGGTGGTACTGGGTTGATTGAGCAATTTGTAAGAATTCCAAGAAATGCTCTTTACAAAAATACTTAATACTGAAAGAAATTGGAAGTGCATTCCATATTGGATGATCCAAACTGGATGACTGGATGATGATTTAACATGGAGAAAGCTGAGGTCCCTACCTTCCCCCATTTGCCCTTTAAACTACTTCTACCAAGATCAAGTGAAAAATTGTCTGTAAACTTCCTAACAGATTATTTTAACTGCATTTCTATGTATTTTTCTACAACATACTTACTGAAAGTAAAGACCCTAAATAGTACAGAAGATGCAGAGATCTTGTCAGTATCAGAGCCTTTTATAAAGCTCTTGGGGACTGGATATGAGGTGAATTTTCTAAGGCATGTTCATAAAAAATTATACATACCCCATGGTGTAGTACACTGAAAAGCAAGCTTGTGCCAGAAGAAGCAATAAAGTGTGTCAGCATGGTGCTGTGGCTGGAATATTTGGCATGTTGAGAGGCTTGGCTTACTAGTCTGCTATCATGTCATAGTAACACAGCTGGACAGCTTTCAGAGCACAGCTAGGATAGCTCATGAATTTAGTGTTGACATTTTCATGAAAAATTCAGAAGCTTTTGAGGGACAGGGATGGAATTCAAGGCATCTGACCCTCCTTAGTGAGTGTCATCCTCATACTCTAAGCAAACTCCCAATTTCTTCTTGTTCATCCTTTTGAGAATGAGATTTATACTTCTACAGCTACTAAGTCTTTTTGAAAATGTTGTTAGAGCTCCTTCATTCAAACCCTAGACAAAATTCATTCAAACCCTACATAGAATAGAGATACAGTCACTTTCAAATATTTGAGGCATGTCTGAGATTTGTGAACAGTTGTTTCTGGACTTGGCATAACGATCTAAGCAGAATAAAATTAGAGAAGGACCAGAATCTTAGCTCTCACCCTGCCAACCTGCATTATGGTCTCTCAAATGGTATTTATAACTCCTGAGAAATAGTCAGGCCCACATACTAACAAACCTGGATAATAAATCTTCATGCATTATGCCACAGTCTTCATCCTTAATATTACTTTACATGCTAAGTAGGCCTGGCAAAAACAAATTTACTTTTCCCTGGGTACTTACAGCTTCATAGTCCGCTAGCTCTAGCCTTGCTTTGTTTTGCATTGTCCTTTTGCAGAGGTAAACCGCTGGAACAGAATAAAATAATATACAATTTGCTACAGTCACATAAACACAGGAGACCAGAAATCAGGAGGCTTCATCTACATTTTAGTGCTCTTTTTTTTTTTTTTTAATTTCCTCTTCTGCTCTAAAGAGCTTTAAAGATGTGATCAATGCTCTAAGTACTGTAGCTAAAATGATGGGTCAGACACTGTGATTCATTAAATAATTATAATCCTGTTTTATATAACAGACATAACATGCAAAATGCATGAGACACTTAGAGTGAGGTTGCTTCATGGCCAAGGAACTAGTTAAAGAGAAAGCAGCAAAGAATATTTTTAAGCTCAGTGTATTATCCATAATGTCCAACAGTTTTATATTAGGCAAATAGATTTTTTGAGAATGTGCACATACGTATACTTTCATTTCTCCCTTTCATAGAAATCATTACACTTCAGTCTGAGGGAATGATTGCTAAAAATTAATTCCAAAGAAAATTCAAGTCTCTTAAAGCATAGTCTGCTATAATCATCATTTAAAATAGAATAAATATGAGACTGAAAAATAAAAAAGGAATATCATATACAGTGATGCAATAAGAATATAATCTTTTATTAATTTTCAAAATCCAAAATGTTTCAGCAGAACTATGCTGGCTTCAGTTGTTTCTGACTACACACATTAACTAACAAAATGTAATGCAGCCAACCAAATACAGAAATGATGAAAGAATGAAAATGGAACTTAACATAAGCAGCACAGTGGTTTGCATTACATTAAAACATCCTGATTTATTTATGCACTCCAGTCCTCTTGAAGGAAATACATTTTCAATAGGCCTTATTTAGCAACAAATACTTCACACCAAGTCTGAATTGCACAGCTTTCACCACCAGTAAGATGAGTAGGGAAACAAAATTCCACCAACTAAAGTCTGGGAGCAATATTTTACTCCATTTCATTAGAAATCCTTCTCATGTATGAGATGTATGTATGAGATGGAAGAATCTTTTGATCTGGACAGCTAAAAAAAGCTTAGCTTATCTGTGGTCCTTTTAATTAGCCAAAAGAGCCCGCATTCATTAGAGTGTCCCTAGCAATTGACCATGTTTCCTGTCCCCTGACTATCAACTTGTCTACCACAGACAGAATGTGTATGAATTTCATATAAATATCGAACTTGTAAACACTTGGAAGAATGAAGTACTTGTCTCAAACTGAGCTTTGCTTTTTAAAGCAGTCAAAACAATTACATTTTACATCTCCATAGAAATATACTTATTTCAGATGAATCACCTGCAAATGCATGGAAACCCAGTTCAATGGATTTATATTACTTCAATGGAACTGATGACAAGCACTTCTAATATCTGCCTCTGTGGGTCCAGATGATACTTGATGGAAAATGAAGTTATATCTGATGCAGTTCTTGTCTTCTTTTGTTTTTCCCTTCATTTCGTTTGTGTTATTTTTATACACTTTTTCACTTTCCTTTCCCTTAAGAAGCCATAGCCTCTATTCTACTCTTATAAGCCCTTTGTTTCCAAAGTCTCTTTATGTCTGCAAAGTTTACAAATACCAATAAAAATCCACACCTCACACAAGTTGAGTAAGCAGATTTATTTAATGGCCTCAGTTCCAAAGTATTATAAAATCAGCGTACAGTTGCTCTCCAGCACCGGAATGCATGCTGAAATCTCACAACAAGATGAGGGAATGAATTCTGTACCCTTTGTGCCTAGGCTGCACCCACAGTGGTAGCAGGATACTGAGGAAAGAGATAGCCTTTGTCATTTAGCTCCTATTGCAACAAAACATTTTCTCTCTTTTCTTTCAAAATTACTTGAATTCCTTTCAAAATTTGACTAAACAAGAAGAAAACCAAAACCCTTGAAAAGTATTAGCACTAAAATATATGGTTACTAGAAATTATAGTTCTAAGAATTACGGGAATTAACTCATTGCTCTCATTTGCATAACCTCTTGGAAAACATTCCAACATTTCAAGGTCCCTGTAGAGGCTTTTCTAGCTCAAAGTCTTTTTCTAGATCATGTTTCATACACTGCAGAGTCATATGCCTAGAACATTACTTTTATTTGGACGCAGTCTGAAACATAACTATTTTCCACCCAAATCTAGGGTACTCCTTTTGGATTGCCAAGCATGCCCATCAGACCCAACAGCCTTGGCACTCACTGTTTCCCTCAGCCTATCTCTGGAAAATATTTAGCAGCACAGGCTCAAATTTCTAATTTCTCAGTTTCTCAAGCTCAGTGGTCCACTGAAAATAAAAAAAAAAAAAAAAAGGTTGAAAACCTTGAAGAACTGATTTTAAGTAGGGAACATCTTGATATACCAAGATTTGCAATGAAATGTGTGGTAATTTTGATTGATGGCCTAGGGACACAAGGGAACAAGATTTGCCAGGAAAGACAAAACACCCACCAGGTCATCAGGAATAGGAGAGATGAATTAGCTTACCACATTATTAACCTAATATTGTTTCTGAGAAAACCTGGCTTCACTGTATGATTGTGCAGCAATAACTTCCCTGCAGGGTTCTTTTAAGGATGCATTTTGCTCCAGCTATATAGCAAATGGTCCATCATAAGCAAGTATTTTTTTTTCCAGTACACATATTTCTTAGCCAAGATTTGAAAAACCATGCCCATCCCTCAGACCTTATTCTCTCAAGTATCCAGATCTTCTCTCTTTTACATTAGGCTTGTATTCTTTTTCTTAAAAAAAAAGCAGAGTACGCCCAAGAAAGATTTAGTTATTTAGGGAAAAAAAAATCTATTAATGCACAAAAGTAGTAGTCTTGAAGGACATTCCTACTCTGGCTCAACCTACTGCCATTGCTGTGTGCTAACAATGAGACCCTTATTATAAAACAAGTACATATTTAAGGATCTTTTTAAAAGCTAATGTCATATGAGAAGCTGGCAGCAGCTCAGGAATTTGAGTTGACCAGTTCACAGTCTCTTAATCATAGGTTTTTGTCTTGTTTGTAACAAAATTCACTAATACATTGGAATACAAAAAAAAAAAAACTAGGAAAATCACTCTCTTTTCAGACAGTCTTGAATATACATAGTCATTAGAAAGCACAGAAAAATGAAGTTTGGGATTTTTTCTTGCATTAAGAACACTGAGATCTGAAATAGGTTTTTGTGAATTGCCAGTGGATTTAGAGATATTGATATGGAAGTAAAATCTACAGGAAGGTTTTCAAATTAATAGCTATTCTATTTTCACATACACTTTTCTGTCTAGAAAGCATTATGACCCAGTTTCCAGCACTGCTTTCCATCTCTTCTCCAGAAGCACTATCTATATTTTTAGAATGGAAATTAAAATAATGGAGAAGATAGACCAGCTCAGTACTGGTCATTTAATCTACTGTTAATGAGACATGTTTGGATCTGCATTTTCTATTGAATTATCAGACTACATTATCAAATGGTCCTCAGTAATTGTGTTGTATTGGCAGTTTGACAGAACCTGGAAATTCCGCAGTTTGCTCTAGTGCATGAAGGAAGCAAGTTGCCAACATACTCTATTTCTGGTTTTATGTATCTTCCTGCTCCATATTAGAAATCATGGTATTCCAATGGAAATACCAAGGTATTTTCAATGGAAAGCAAGGATACTGACAGAGTGAGGGAAGTATAATGGCAGTATAATGAAGAAGGAGGAAAAGTTCCTGAGGTTTTGAAGCATTTTTGAAGGATGGTGTTTTGTATTTTGGTGCAAGTCTAGATTTCATTTTATTTTAAAAAAGTTTGGGCAGAATGCACTACAAAATGTGCAACAGATGCAAGAGCTAAAGGAGAAAGAGAGAGGAGACTCTATTCAGATCTTGGGGAGACCATGGGTAGTAGGACTGATAATTTGCTAGTTCAGGTTATTCTGGAATATGCTGCAATGTTTGTTGCTTCTACAGTTAAATGTGAGTATTTCAGAATATTTCAGAATATTTCAGAATATTTAAGGTTGGAAGGGACCTCTACAGATCATCTAGTCCAACCTTCCTGCTCAAGCAGGCACACCTACAGCATGTGGCACAGGGTGGCATCCAGGCGGGTTTTGAAGACCTCCAGAGTAGGAGACTCCACAACCTCCCTGGGCAGCCTGTTCCACTGCTTTGTTACCCTCACAGTAAAGAAGTTGCTCCTCACCTGGAGACGGAACTTCTTGTGCTTCAGTTTGTGGCCATTACCCCTCGTCCTATCGCTGGCCACCAGTGAGAACAGCCTGTCCCCTTCCTCCCTGCATTCTCCCTTCCTGAACTTATACATATTAATCATATCCCCTCTGAGCCGTCTCTTCTCCAGAGAAAACAGGCCCAGCTCGCTCAGCCTCTCTTCATACGAGAGATGCTCCATTCCCTAAAGTAGTTAAAGAGTAAGTTAAACCCAAATCCTATTCACTGTGTATTTTATTATTGACTACTGGAATGTTATACTTAGAAAACTGTGTGATACACAATGTCTGTGGCTAAACTGAAAAATTAATCAAATCATTACTATTGTATAAATTCTTCTCCCCAAATACTTGACAGGAGAAAGCCTTCAAAATTGTGCAAAAGGCAGCTGGGGTATCTAGTCATATCAGTAGAAACAGTTAAAGCAGCATCATTTCTATATATGGTATATATGTTTATGTAAGGACCAAGAAGGTATGGCAGTATCTCAATGAATCCTGAAGCAGATATTGTTTCTGTGCCTACCTACGCTGAAGGCATGCTGGTGTCCAGCTTCATACCTTATTGAGGTTGACTTATTTCATGGCTTGACCTTGGACCTGCCTGATCACTTGACACTTTTTTGGTAAGGGCATTACCTCTACCTGCACTGTTGCCACTCTTGGCTCTTGCTTACCGTCTTTGGTAGAGCAGCCTGATATTGCATCTCCCTGAGAAACCTGATGAAAAATGCTTAACATATGGATTAATGATATGCAGTGATTACATCTGATTAATAACCTTAAATTGCTAAATATGGACTGACACATAAGAGT